ATAAATGCGTCAAAATCACACGAAATTATTTTGAAAAAAGTCACGTTCTCCATGGAAAAGGGGTCATATCTTTATGGAGAAACAAGCACTATGTGCATTGGGAGGAGCCATTCTCCCAGCCAGGCTTATGGTAAGCCATGTTATTCCGCGCTGTCCAGTGCAGCAAAATAGGAGCCATATTTAGCCACATCATGCCCTGACGCCAGCTAAGCCATGTTAGGACGGATTCTATCTCTATGAAAGGGTGCAGACGTGGCATAGCCTCGCTGAGAGTGTCCCCCCACGGCCGCTTGCACACACAGCACCTCCGTGGCCTCGCGGAATTTTTAGAATAAGCAAAGTATACGTATCGATTCGGAAAATTCCGCGGAGGCCACGGAGGCCGCGGAGGCGCTGTGTATGAACGCGGCCTACCGAGGCATAAATTCTCGAAAAACAACCTCCACACAGTCCTCACCTCCATGAGTTCCCCTAGTAAGGAAATCTCCCCTTCGGTGGTATTTCCTACCACTAAAGAAGACGAGTTGATGGAGAAGTAAGGCCAAATAAGGGTTCGCCATCCCTAGCGTTAAAAAAATGGATCACATGTCAGTCTCTTTTTTTTGGTCTATGGTTTTGCTTGAAGTCGAGAATTCCATCTGAAGTTAGGCGGATAGGGTTGTGTAGTGAAGTCGTTGCACAGTACGGTAACTTCAGTAGGCGAACAGTCAAAAAACTTTACTGCTTGTGCGATTTTTCGGTACTGTTCGACTTGGGAGGAGCATCTTGCTTTTTTGCTGATTCATTTTGACCAACAAATTTTTTTTGGTGATACCTATGAGCTCTTTTGAAGGTGCGAAATGGTGCAAGTAAGGCACTTTGTTACAATAAATGCCGGTTTTCACAATGTAACCGGTGCAGGCTATGCCCGCCCCCGCCAAGCCAAACTGCGCCGGTTTTTTCTCCATCTTTCTGGGCTACTCTTGGCGCTAGTTTTACCCGCTACAGCTCTCTTGTTTTGAATGTTGCTAGAAATAAATGCACTTATAGCCCCAGTTCTTACGTGGAAACGATTTTTAAATGTTCACTAGATTTAAAATTTGATTTTTTTGAGTCGTGGACATAGTACTTTATTAGAATTGAAGTAATCATCAATAAAACAAATCACTTCTTTTGCCGTCGAGAGACTTCCTGGAACGATTTGGTAATTTAAGGTGAAATTCGATGTCCATCGTGTGGATAATATGGTCATCCAATCGATCGCTCTGTTGGATCAGCTTGATAAGGACATCAATTTGTTTGGGATGCGCATCCGAGAATGGCTAGTGTTTATTCTGATGTGTCATTAGTTCTTCGAGTATTTTTGTGATTGTCGTACTTTCACAACTCGAAGACGAGTTTATTCACAGTTTAGTTTGCTGCAGATGCTCGGAGGGATGAGAGTGCGAGGGTTGGCGCGACGCCAGCCCGTTATCCATCGATTGCTGTGCCTGTCCTCCAGGGCACATCGTTGTTGGGGAATCCCCAATAGGGGGTCGTATTTGGTCGCCAGGAGGGGGGTCGTATTTGGGCTGAGAAAAATTTATTTTGATAGTTGATTTTTCTCGCTTCATGGACGTTGTAAAGGGAGGGGGTCGTATTTGATCGCCAGGAGGAGGGTCGTATTTGGGCTGAGAAAAATTTATTTTGACAGTTGATTTTTCTCGCATTATGGATGTTGTAAAGGGAAGGGGG